GAATATGTCTACCCGACAGACCTAGACCTTTTCTGCAAATGGCCTGCCATGTGAAATAGCTGCATGATAATTGTAGCTGGGGCTGGGTACCAGAGGCTCACAGCTCTAATCCTAGCTACTCAGGAGGCGGAGATTAGGAAGATTAAAGTTCAAAGCAAGCCTGGGCAAATAGTTCACAAGACCTAATTTGAAAAAACTCATCACAAAAAAAGGGTTGGTTTAGTGGCTCAAGGTGTAGGCCCTAGTTCAAACCCCAGTACTGCAAATAAATAAATAAATAAATAAATAAATGTAGTTGAGACTTTCAAATTCAGATTCTATGTAATTTCATGCTTAAACGTTAGTATTTTTTTGTTGATGATAGATTATTAAGTCTGGGTCTAATCAGGAGGGGGAACCCATGATAATTTGAATATAATAATTTAATATAAAAATTATCAGCAGTCACATGGAATTAGATAAAGACTTGGATTGTGCATTATTTTCCTGAGTAGAATCTTCCCTTGCCTCTTCTTAGCTTCGGGTGGTTGCTGGTAACTTAAACAGGCATCACTCCAATCTCTGTCACAGGGAATTCTTGTCTTTTCTCTTCGTGTCTCTGTGTGTGTCTTTACATGGCTTTCTCCTTTCTATGTATCTGTGTCCAAATTTCCTTTTTTTTTTTTTTGCAGTACTGGGCTTTGAATTCAGGGCCTCATGCTTGCTAGGCAGGCGCTCTATCACTTGAGCCACTCCATCAGCCAAATTTCTCTTTTCTTATAAGGACACACCAGTCAGTTGGATTAGGGCCCATGCTAATCCACTGTGACCTCATTTCAACTTATTACTTCTGCAAAGTCTTTATGTCCAAATAAGGTCATACTCACAGGAACTGAGGGGGAAGGGTAAGGACTTGAACATGTCTTTTTTTTAGAGAAAGGGGACAAAATTCTGCCCACTAGAGATAACACAAAATAAAATGAACTCTAGAAAATGCAGGAGTAGCAGATACAAGGAGCAGCCACTACCCCTAGGCCTGAGAGTGTAGGAGAGAAAGCCTCCATCCTCTCTGGGACTGAGATCCAGAACTTTCTGGAGAGGACATCAAAGTGCTGGGGTGCCACTCTGGTGGAACTTGCTGGACTCTTCCGTCTAGATACCAGGGAAAGTCATTCACCAGAGGCGCTCCACTACAAAGTCAACTGAGCATGGCATGCAGGGGAGCTGCTGGGCTAAAGATCTGAGGGTGGGGAAACAAAACCCCTTCTTTCTGAAGTATGTATCAGTCTATTGACAAAAGACACGATGTCAGGCTGGAGATGTAGTTCAGTGGTAGAGTCCTTGCCTAGCAGGCAGCACAAAGCCCTAGGTTCCATCCCCAGCACTGCAAAATAAAATAAAGGGCCCAGATCCATTTCACAGAGCAAGAAAAAAGGATAAATTTGAGGACTGGAGATGTAGCTCACTGGTATAGCACTTGCCTACCATGTATGAGGCCCTGGGTTGGATGCTCAGAACCAAAAACAAAACAAAAAAGCCATTAGTGATGGTAAACACCTGCAATTCCAACACTTGGGAGGCTGAGGAGGAGACTTGGATCATAGTTCAAAGTCAGCCTTGGCTACATAGCAAGACTCTATTATTAAAAATCAAAAGTTGGAAGCCAGGGGCTCACGCCTTATAACTTTAGCTACTTCAGAGGTCGAAATCAGGAAGATCGTGATTCCATGAAGCCAACTCAGGCAGATATTTTATAAGACCCCATCTCCTAAATAACCAAAGAAAAATGGACTGGAGGTTTGGCTCAAGCAGTAGAATGCCTGCTTTTCAAGTGGGAAGTCCTAAATTCAAACTTCGATACCACAAAAACAAAAAAGACAGCAAAACAAACAATAAGGATGAATTTGGTGGTGAGAGGTAAAATGATAGCTACGCAATAACATGCTGCCATTTCAGATAACAGGAACCTCCCTTCACTTTTTTGCTCTCTCTCCATCTTCCCAACCTTCTCCCTTTCCAACATCCTCAACACGAGCCTTTTCACTTTACTGCTCAGCTCCTCTAAGCCTAAGACCTGTCTACTATTCCTTTGAGAGAGAGAGGGAGAGGGAGGGGGAGCAAAAAAGCAATGTAGTCATGCTGGAGAGGTAGAGAGCCTTCCTGGCGAGCACAAGGCTGAATTCAAAGCCCAGTACTGCCAAAAAAAAGTACAAGGATGGAACAGGCCACAGGTGGCCCTCTACGCTGGAGAAGACAGACCATGAACAACTTTCTCAGATTTAAAAAGATTTGTTCTGAAACCTCTCTGAACCAAATACTTCAAGGTGGAGACTGAAATCAAGACAGGCAGCAGAGCAGGTGGCAATCCTGAGGGGCATACTAAAAGATACAAACTCCCAAATACTAGGGGAGGGGCACTTGTCTCTCCTCAGGACACAGCATGTGGGAGCTGTTGAAATTTTTTTGAATGTTTGATGTCAACCAGAGTAGAAACCAAAACACAAGGTTTTTTGACATTTCTCAGGCGTAGTTCTTAGCAAAGAGTTATCACTGACCATCCTACTCATCTCAATCCCCTATAACTACAACCAGGTCCATCATACCCTGCTATTCTAGAGCTCAGGCTGGAGGCTGCCATGGGAACCCAGTTGAGTGGGTGAGCCAAAGGGACAAGGTACTCTGGAAACATCAAATTTTTAATCCTCTTTTTACCTGTACTTCAGACAGGTTATTTATGAAGACTTTCTGGATGTGTCTTCTTTCTTGTTGTTTGTTTGGGTTTTTTGGTTTGTTTGTTTTTGGTGGTACTGGGGTTTTAACTCAGGGCCTTGTTGGGAAGGCACTCTACCACTTGAGCCATACCTCCAGCCTGGATGTGTCTTCTTGTTTGATCTAGAGCTTCTATTTTGAGATAGGCATGATAGAGTTTACTGTTCCTATCTTACATGAAAAGGAGACCCAGAGTCTAAAAGGGCCCAGAGTTTCTGGAGAATGATACACTGAAGGGCACTCATGACTCATGATCAATCTCCAGCTACATCTCCACTGGTTGGGGGGGAACTCCTACCTCTGCATTAGCATACACTAGCCACAGGATGCCTGTGTACACAACACAAGTAGTTATAGTAGGGGTTGTTGAAATGGGAGTCATAAAAAGGGTATAAAAAAGTGAATTCTGTGAGATGAGGAGGTTTTACCCTTGCTGGCCTGGGCTGAGGGCCAAGACTGCCACAACCTACCTTAAACTTATTTTCTAAAATAATAATAATTATTATTATTATTTGGCTGTAGTGAAGATTGAATTCAGGGCCTAGTACTTGCTAAGCAAACAATGATGAACTCTAGCACCTCAAGTTAGGGACCCAGTGCTGGGCCCTTCCTATTCTCAGTCCCAGGTCTTTTCTTTAGGCTATTCTTTGCCTTTGGTATTGTTCAAACTTCAGGTGATTTAGAGAATCCAAGCTCAGGTCATGCTTGCTCTGTTTTTTTTTTTTGTTTTGTTTTGTTTTTGGTGGGTCTGGGGTTTGAACTCAGGGCTTCATACTTGCAAAGCAGGCACTCTACTGCTTGAGCCACACCTCCAGGGTATTTGCTCTGGTTATTTGGGAGATGAGGATCACTGAACTATTTACCTATGCTGGCCTCAAACTCTATCCTCCTAATCTCAGCTAAGCTTACATGTGAGTGCCTGGCTGCCTTTTTTTTTTTCCTCTGTATGTTGCCCAGACTCACCTCAAATTCTCACTCTTCCTGCTTCAACCTCCAAAGTGGCTGGGTTCACAATTGCTCTGCTCTTGTAGGCTTTTCCTGGCGTAGGGCCTAGAATGGACCTAAATGTTCAATGTCATATTTCATGGTTGAGAAGGCTCTCCAAGCACTAACAGAAGGATGAAGCATCATCATACATCTAAGAAAAAGTTTCAAGCCCCAAACAGCCAGCCCTGATCAAGAGGGAGAGAACACTTCTACCTGGAAGAGTTTCTGCCTATCCCACTAGAGATCTCACAATTGATTTTCAGAGGACCCAGATGGCCTGCCACAAAGACGTTATGGTCTGCACAACTGCACTTCTACCTGGTCAAGTCCTTGAGGACAGAGTGGGGAGTCTTCACTTTCCAACACTAGTTCTTACTGATTCCATTCTTTCCCTGTCAGCCTGTTCCCTCCTTCCTCCCTCCCTCTTTTGGTAGTACTGAGGTTTTGAATACAGGGCCTGGCACTTGCTAGACAAGCAATCTACCACTTGAGCCACACCCCCAGCCTTTTGTGCTTTCTGAGATACAGCCCTCCTTGGACAGAACCCCTCTTGAGAGTGTGGTTCCTGGGAGCCGGAACAGAAAGTTGGCTGGGCCCTATCAAGCAACCCCAGGTGAGTTATTGGTCTCCTGACATGGAGCTCCTATACTGAGCCCTGAGCGGCCCGCAGACACCCGCACTCCTTCGGGAAGAGGCATACAACACTCAGGTGAAGATCAGCTCCTCCTTCCAATTCGGCTCAGCCGGAAGCTGCAGGACACCACCCAGCAACAGAGCCAGAGGCGCGCCATCCCGAGTCTTTAACCCTGAGTGTTCAGGGTTCCTGCTACTCCCTCCCAGATTCAGATACAGTCCCGAGGGAACCCGGCTGAGTAACCTAGGATGGTCCCGGAACCGGTCTCAAATGAAGCCTCTCTAGGATAGTGGGAATTTCAGAAATCGTTAACCTTGGGTCGACGTTCATTGGCCCAAGAATGAAAGCGCCGGAAGATGCCCTTAAAAAACGTGGAGGAACTCTAGCTTCAGTACGGTAGTCTCAATATACCAACAAACCTGGCATACTATTTGACTACTGACGGGCCTTCAAAAGATGACGCTATACCGTCCACTAAGGTTCAACCCGGACTTCAGTTTCTGCCCTCAACTATAATGGCGGTGCTGCTCAATTTGGCTTCTTGACCCTAGGTATGATGGCCGCCTGGCGGCTTCACTTGGTTTCTCACCACCCCGGAAGACGGGAACCGGCGATTGGGCGGTACCGAAACACTCTGAGAAGAACGCTCCTGACGGTTGGGCAGTGTTGGGTTAGGCAGGTTTTAAAGGAGCCTGAGGTAAGAGCTGTCGAAGACCCGGGATCCGCGGGAGGCGGCGGTGAGCGGCGCGCGGGGAGGGCATCGAGCGGCTGGCGGGGGGGGGGGGGGGGGCGGGGAAGGAAACATTTGAACCATCTACTTCTCGGCTCGGGAGGACGCTGGGCGGGGATGCAGGCAGGGCGGGGGCTGGAGGTGGGATAGTCTGTGGGCGGGACCTCCCGGGATTGGAGTGAAGTGGGGTATCTGTCTGACAGTGGATCCCCCGGGATCCAGACTGAGTTCTACGATGCCCAAGTTCCGGCCTCCCTTGTCTGAGTAGAGCTTTGCTGAGCCGAGGCTCACCAGCGGGAGGAGCCTTGCGCGGCTTCTGATTGGAAGAACCGCGCTGTAGGATTCTTTGCGCAGGGATCCACTGTAGGGGATCTGGTGGGAGGGAGGACTGTCTGTGTGTGGAATATTGCTTTGGAGTCCTCGGCCACGGGCTAGGAGGATCGCAGGGGAATCCAGAGGAAACGGAACCTTACAAGACCGGGATCCCAGCGGATCCCGGGGAATCTCAGGGCGGAATCTGCAGAGACAAAGACCCCGGGAAGCTCGGGCCTTGGGAAAACTGGGACCCCCGCAATCCAGAGTCTCGCGGCAGGTGCCTGGCAGGGCCTGAGTGATCCGCTGATCAAGGAGGCTGCAGAGGGAGGACACCCGCTCCGGGCGGCCAGCCGGGGGCGCCCTTCGGCGCCCCAGGGCTCGGGCCTGTGGGCTACCCGGAGCCGCGGGCGGACCATGAAGGGCGGAGCCCCGCGGGAGGAGCTGGCCCTCACTCCCCGCTCCCCTGCTCCCCCCTTGCCCCAGGCCGCAGCCTGGGATCCCCCAGGGACCCCCCCGGAGCCGCCGCTTCCCCCATGGACTTGCCTGGGGACTCCAGGTGAGAGCGCACCCCGCCCGCCTGTCTTGAGCCCGGGAGACGGGGATCCTGGCGGCCGTACCGGGAAATTACAAAGCCAACAACAGGTTCAGACGACTGTCCTCTACTTCTTTCACCCTCCAGCCGGCCTTGTCAGCCGAGTCTGTGCCGTCAGCCCCTGGCTCGAGCATTATGGGGAGCCAGGAGCCCGAAAAGGCCGAGATTGCAGCCCTTGGGGGCCCCTTCGCCTCTGGAAAAGGCATCTCGACGGGTCCTGGCCGTGGTGCTGGAAGATGTCATGGCTGCCCGCATGGTGAGCCTCCCCCTCCTTTTCCCCTACCCAGTACCAAAGTCAGACCAGATCCCTAACAAGGATGTTGAGATCCAAACACCTCATTCTCATGCCCATCACCAAGGCAGAGTCCGTAGTGCTAGAGTCCTGCATGGCTCCCACTCACTCAACCTATGATAGGGCAGGGTCTCCAGTGACCACCCCCTGTCCCCCGGTGGGCTGGAGTCACATTCTAAGGGAAACCCTTCTGCTTTTTTCCCTTGGGAAGCATACTGATGCCTTTGGCCTCATTGCACAGATGTTCAAAATAGGGCAGTAATCCACCCAAAGTCTCTCTTTTTCACTTCTCCAAACAGCCTGTGTGAGATTACCTACTTCCCACACCTGTAGCTCAGGACTCTTAACATCTGGCCCCTAATTCAGACCAACTCACTTCTTTGGAGATTTGAATGAATTCTAGCCATCATCTCTGTCACCTTTGTGGCTAAGGGCACTGTTAGGCACAGGGAGACCCTGTTTAGTCTAACCCTCATTCCTTGCTCTTAGGATCCTCTGGTCCCCCAAGAGGAGACCTCCATCTCACAGCACCACAACAACCATCAGGAGTCTGTCTGCAGCCAGTCACGTGCTTTACCACCCCAGCAAGTCAAGTGGTCCTCACAGGCCAGGTGAGCATGACAAGGATGGGGAGTAAGCTGGGGACACAGCTGAGCCCACTTATCTTCCTATTCCTTCTCTAGGCCTCCCGACCCACTACATTTGTGCCGAGAGCCCTTGAGCCGAATCCACAGGTCCTCTTCCACCCTGAGGCTGCGATCAAGAACAACGCCTGGCCCAGAGGAGAGACCTTCACAAAAGGTGGACCGGGGCCCCCAACCTACCCTGGTGGTGCTGCTGGAAGATATTGCCGGTCCCAGACCCCCAGCTGAGGTATGAGAACTAGGGTGAAGATGTCAGGGGTTCAGCTGAGACAAGCATTGAGGAGAGAAGACAGTGGTAGGAGGCCTGTGTCTGGGGTGGATTTCTGATAGTACTTTAGACAGCAGACACTACCTCAGCAAAGACTATATGAAAAAGTCTTTGGTGTGCACCCAAGCAGATATCTGAGACTGAAAGAGTCAGGACATGGAGGGCTAAGGAGGCCAAAGAGGACTTCCCTGCCTCCCCACAAACATCCCCTGTTTATATTCAGGGCTTCGCCAATGACAGCCCCAACTTCATCGTCCCCACACAAAGGTGAGAGGGCTGGGAAAGGAACGATCAAACCCATCATCCAGATAGCCAGAGTTGGGACACTGAGATTTACATATCTATTTCTTTCTAGCACCTCCAGAAGCCCTAAGGGACAGGGGAGGTGCTGGCCTAGGTGGAATCCAAACTTGGAAGCTCCTCCAGCCCTTATGTTGCCCCTTCACCCCAGAGCTGAGCCCATGGGGATGGTTTACCAGCCAATGCCCGTACCTGGGGACCTACAACCTCCATTCCAGCCATCCACCCTCCCTGCAGACCCTCCAGAGAGTCCACTACCAGGTAAGGTCTCAGAATCAGAGGTGGGTATGGGCCTTAATCCCTCATAGGGAAGAGCATGGCCTAGAAAACTGGGATTTAGACTTTGCAGGTTTGATTCTTAACTGCAGGACTTACATTTTAGGAGTGGGCTCATTCCTCTGTAGACAGTGAATTTTAGGGGAGGGGCTGAGGCTAATGAGGTGGGGCTTAAGACACCTGCACTGCCCATCTGTGACCCTGTCCCTTCCACAGCCCCAGATCCTGCTCTGGAGGCCCCATCGACCCCACCACCGTCCAGCCTTTTACGCCCCCGCCTCAGTCCCTGGGGCTTGGCTCCCCTCTTCCGTTCCGTCCGCTCCAAGCTGGAGAGCTTCGCTGACATCTTCCTTACACCAAACAAAGCCCCACAGCCCCCACCCCCTTCACCTCCCATGAAGCTGGAGTTGAAGATTGCCATCTCTGAGGCTGAACAGTCCAGGGCTGCTGAGGGAACTGCATCTGTCAGTCCCCGGCCCCCTATCCACCAGTGGCGAGCTCAGGACCACAGTACCCCAGCACTTCTTCCTAGACTCTCTCTGGGTCGAAGCCACTCCTGCCCTGATCTGGGGCTCCCTGGCCCAGCTGGCTGCACCTGGCCCCCTGCTTCACCCCAACCAAGCCGGCCCCGGCCCCGACGGCACACTGTGGGTGGTGGGGAGATGCCCCAAGCACCGCCACCCCCTCGGCCCTGTCTCCGGAAAGAGGTCTTCCCTCTCGGAGGAGTGGGAGCCTCCCCTTCTCTCACCACATCATGCTCGTCCACTGCATCCACTTCTTCCTTCTCCGAACCAGCAGTACCCAGGTAGTGTTCTCAATAAATCTTCCTGGAAGCCCTAGCCACAAGCCTGGGTACAGCCTCCTTCCCTGACTTTCCAGTGGGCAGAGGTGGGGTTTTGCAGTGAGTCCTATTTATCCCTAAACTTTACCTTCTCTGCAGGCTGGGCTCAACCAAGGGAAAACAGCCAAGAACCTCAAAAGACCAGGTGCTTTCAGAACCAGAGACCAAGGTAGGAGTACAAATGATGGGCAAGAGACATGTAGGAATCTGAGGCCATATATCTTTCGTCCTCTTCCCCATTTTTTTCAGACCATGGGAAAGGTTTCTCGGTTCAGAATACGCAGGACACCAGCCCGTTCTCAACTAAAGCTTACACCAATGGGGCTCCCTCGACCAATCAGGTGAGAGACTCACCAGGCAGGGAGCTGCCTTGGCCAAGCAGATGGAAGGAAGCTCATATCCCCTGAAGTATGGCTTTGTCTCCTCTCAGGAGCACAGTCCAGCATGGAGGATTCAATTTGGTGTGGACATGGTTTGTGCTTAGAACTTCCTGTCTGCCTCAGACAGCACTCCTGGTCCTGGCATGTCCCAGAAACTGAAATATAAATCAGGCCTTACTTAGCACTTCTTCAAGCCCCACTGGCCCAAGATTTCTCAGTGGCCTCTGCTCTTTGTCTCAGGTTGAACAAGAAGGAGTTTAGCTTGGAAGAAATTTATACCAACAAGAATTATCAGTCTCCCACAACCAGGAGGTGAGGAACTTTGAAGGCCTGAGGGTGTTAGAAGAAAGCTAGAACCAGGGGCTGTGTTGTTAAATAGCTCCTCTCTGTCTGCTCCAGGACTTTTGAGACCATCTTTGAGGAGCCCCAGGAGCGCAATGGGACTCTGATTCTCACCAGTTCAAGGAAGCTCCGGCGGGCTGTAGAATTTCGGGATAGCAGCCTTCCTCGACCCAGGCGGCCATCACGTGGCATCCGGGCTGCAGCTGGCAGGACCCTTACTTCCAACCTGGCACCCAGCCAAGATGTGGGACCCCTGCTGCAGCAGCGACTGGAGGAGCTAGATGCCTCGCTCCTGGAGGAGGAAATGGATGGGGAGAGACCCCATCAGTCCTAGGAGCTCCAGCTGTTTGTCCATCCATTCATCCTGGAGGGAAGGAAACCTCTGAGTCAGTTATATTTTTTCTCTATATTTCTAGTAAAGTTTTCGCTATGTTTCTGATTCTTTTGTTTCTCATTCTTTTGTGTCTCCAGATAAGTTTTTTTTTTTTTTCTTTCATACTGGGGTTTGAACTCTGGGCCTCACACTTGGTAAGCAAGTGCTCTACCACTTGAGTCACTCTGCTAGCCCAGTTTTTGTGTTGAGTTTTTTTCAGGATAGGGTCTCATGAGCTATTTCCCTAGGCTGGCTTTCTATGTGATCCTGAGCTCTGTCTCCTGAGTAGCTAGGGTTGCAAGCATGAGTCACAGGTGCCCCATTCCAGCTAAGTTTAAGATTGACTGGCTATGCTGGCTAGTTTTTATGTTGGCCCCAAAGAACTGAGAAAGGAGGGTGGTGCCAGAGAAGAGAGATTGGGGACAGGGATGAGCTGGAATAATCATTAGAGATACCCCCCTTTACACCCACTCCATCCCCACGCAGTGCTGGGGATGGAACCCAGAGCTTTACACTTGCTGGGCAAGTGCTCTACCACTGAACTACACTCCCAGCCTGGAGATAACTTTTAAGAATTCTGAGTGGAGGGATACTCCTGAAAAAGTTCAATGACAATGAAGCCTGGGACCCGGAGCAGGATCCTCCAGATCCATTTACATCAAGGAGCCTGGTTTAGACTACGGCCTTCATGAAGATGGCCCTGAATTCCTCCTAACATACAGGCCTGGACCTGCTGGTGGATTCAAGAGCTAACAGCAGTTGGGTACAATCACACCTACCTGCACATAGCCTTCTGAGGGAACTAGGGTTAGGGCGAGGATGTCAGTGGTATGTCCATATTAAAACAGTATCCCAAAGGTCCATCAGTGGCACTTTCATACCGTAGAAGCGGCGGAGCCGGGGAGACATCTGACTGGAGCTGGGATTCTGTTTGCAGGTCAATTCCCCGCCCTTGGTCAAATTTGTTATTAATAAATGAATTAACATGAACGACAGTGCTCAGCACACAACGCTCAAATAGCGCAGACCAGCACTCAAACCCGACGGTAATAGACGCGATCTCTTTCCCACACGTTGGTAGCTTGGAAGTCCGGTTGCTGGGGCAACCTTGAGACCGGTAGCGATCCTCCTAGCAAACTACCAGGCAGTGCCGTTAACCATGCGCGTGCGCGAAACGGCAAGCAGCGGAGACACTACGTAACTCTGGTCCAACCGCACCTTCCGCGATCGCGCGCCGCCCAGTGGCCAACTGCCCTCTATGACTCGGGGACCACATCCCAACTCCTTGACTTGACACCTTCAGAGGGAGGCCAATAAACGAGGAGCAGGAAGAGGCGGGGTCACCTGGGGACCACCCCAAACACCTACTTCTAACCAATCGAATTACAAAATTTGAGGAAGGGCGGAGCTAATTTGACATAACCCAATCCAAAATTTGAGGGCGGTTACATATTGCCCACTCCCCGGAGTTTGACTCCGCCCTTCGATTTGACGCATACTTGCCAACCTATCAACGACTGAGTGGGGGGGAGGGGTTGAGGGAAAAGGGGCGGAGAGTGGGAGGAGGCAGGGAGAGGAAGGAGGAGTAGGCTGAGGAGGAAGAGGGAGGAGGGGCAAGGGAATTCTGGCGGAGAAGAGGTCCAAGACGCTAAAGGAGACAACGGGAGGGTGAGCTGGAGTTTTCTTGCTGCCTAACGGACATTCCGGATTCCCTAAGGCACAAGTCAGTCAGAGACCGAGGAAAAGAAGAGACTTTTATGTCGGCGGACAGAGAAGCTCTACCCGTCACCGTTGCCTCACATCCGGGATTTTGGAGGGCTGGCCCCACGACCCCGCCCCCCCTCGCGCCTTTCATGGCGACCGGAGGCGGAGGCTGGAAGAGCTTGGCCTGGAGGAGGCCCCTTTAAATCTTAAAGGGGTGGCCACCGCACTCGGCCGACTGCAACGCCAGCCTTAAAGGAGAAGCCGTCGAAGAAAAGCTGACAGACTAACTCTGCTGTTGGGAGAATTGGGGCGAGTGGAGTTTCCCACTTCTCCTCCCGCCCTACGCAAGAAGTCCTTTAAACTAAGCTTAAAGGGGAAGTGGCCGCTTGTGGAGGACTAGAAACTCTCGAGCTCTTAAAGGTCTGGCCTGCTGTTTGAAGGACCCTGGACTCCTTAAAGGGGTGGCCTCTTTTAGCCGGAGGACTTGAGACTTTTAAAGGGGAGGTCTGCGTTTCGGTTCGAGCTTTCGGCCCCTTTTAAAGGGGTGGCCCTTCCTCTTCCTCGGGGAGACTAGCCTCGACCCCTGTCAGGGGGCGGCCACCGCATTAGGCGACCGGACACAAGCGGGTCGTCTTAAAGGGGCCAGGGGCTGGACAGCTTGAGGCCTCACCTTAAAGGGACGGCCGCCCCGTTTTCGCCGTCGCGGCCCCGCCGGCCCCACAGGGGGGGCCCTCGGGCTTGTCGCCCCGGGGGCGGCGCCGGCTCTCCGGGCCTTGGCCTTGGGGCGAGCTCGGGACCAGCAGATCCTGCTTTAGAGGGGAAGCCGGGGCCCTCACGTCCCTGCACCGCCGCCAGCGCCGCGCCTACGACCCTCGGCCTACGGACAGGCCGCTTTGGGCCCCGCCGCCTCCGGATGCGGCGCTGAGGGCCGTCGCCATGGAGACGGCAGCGGCCGCGGCCCCTGGCCCGGGCTGGGCAGCCGAGGGGGAGCGAAGGCGGCGGCGCTGCTCGCGCCGGGACCGGGACCGGGAGCAGCGGCGCCGCCGTGGGCCAGGCGGAGACGCGCCCCGGGCCTTGCTGGCCGCCCCGCGCGGCTCTTCGTCCTCGTCGTCACCGCCGCCGCCCGCCAGGCCCTGGTCCTCGGCCTCGTCAGGAGAACGACCCGGGGGCCCGAGACGCCGGCGGCCGCGTCCCAGGCCCCGGCCCCCGCGACCCAGAGCTCGGAAGCGGCCCGCCGGCTCGGGCAGCCGAGGGGAGGAAGAGGAGGAGGAGGAGGAGGGGGGCGCCGACGACGGGGAGGCCGAGGAGGAGCCCGAGGAGGAGGAGGAGGAGGAGGACTTGATCGATGGCTTCGCCATCGCCAGCTTCGCCAGCCTCGAGGCCTTGCAGGTGGGGCCTGGCGGGACGGGGCCTGGGGATCCGAGGGGCAGGGGAGGCACTGTGTCTAGGACGGCGGGGCGGGGGGTGCTGGCACCCCAAACCAGAGCGACCGGCTCCTCTGGCCGGCCTCGCCCCACCCTGGGGTGGGAGGAGGTAGGGCTTGTCTCCAGGGACCAGCTGGGTCACCCGGCCAGAGGCCTTTGGAAGCTTGGTCACCCCTAGAGAGGTGGGGAGTTTTTCTTTTCCATCCACGTCAGTCCCACCTCCTTTCCCACAGAAGGATGCATCTCTTCAGCCCCCAGAACGACTGGAACATCGGCTGAAGCATTCTGGGAAACGGAAGAGGGGGGGCTCCAGTGGGGCCACCGGGGAGCCAGGGGACAGCTCTGATCGGGAGCCTGGTCGGCCCCCTGGGGATCGGGCCCGAAAATGGCCCAATAAGCGGAGAAGGAAAGAGGTGAGCTTGTCCCAGATCCCCATCCTCTAAAACTGTCCAGAAACAATGTCTCTAGAAACCCGTGTTCCATCAGCATTGCCTCTGCCCACCCTAAACAGTAACCTCAGTCTCTGAGGCAAAGAAGAAGGCAAAGCACATTCAAATGTGACAAAGAATTGTCTACAGTCAGGCTCACTTGATTTTGGTTGACACCACGTCTGCTTCAAACACGTTGATAGTTAAGAGACAAATCAAAAGAACTTGGTTGAATCATAAATTTTTTAGATGTAGTCCCTGCCCTTCCCTCGAGGTGGTGGCAGCCTAACTAGAAAGAAGAGGTCAACAAGCAAACACTTGGGCTACAGTTTCCTATGCTATACTAGGCACTGATCTGGGAGAGATCTGGGAGCAGTGCTGCAGAAACCCACATGAGGAAGCCACTGGTTCTGCCTGGGGGATGGGCAGAGGTTGTGGTTAGGGAAAGCCCCCTGTGATATCTTAGTCAGGCCCTGAAGTACAAAAAGTTTGCTAAGAGGAGAAATGGAGAAAAGTTGTTTTGGGCAAATGCGCAATGAGGTGAGAACTTCGTATGGTTAGAAAATGGCAAGAACATTGGGAATGGGGGTGGGTAGTAGCTGGAGAAGCAGCCTGAAAAAGACTGATAGTAGATCGTGAGGGACCCAGAATGCCGTGCATATCCAGTTGCCTGTGTATCCAGTCAGCCTCCCTTACCTCTGGACTCTGGTCTTTCTCAGGCCTTCTCCCGCCACTCTCTGGAAGCTGGATACATAGTAAGTGCTTACCCTCCTGTACTGGCACCTCTCGCCCCTTGGGCCCCACTCCTCTTCTTTTTCCTGACATCTTTCTGTTTTCTCCCCAGTGTGATGCGGAAAGTGATCTGGACGAGAGGGTGAGTGGGGCCAGAACTTGATGGGTGGGCAGTGTCAACAGCCTGTCAAACAAGGCCTTCTACATGCAGCAGACAGCCTTCCCTTGAGTGGGAAACATAGGTTAGGATTGGGTTTGGGAGATGAAGGAGTAGGGAGGATAAGTGGCCTTTTTTATTCTGGGAATAAAAGAAGTGACCTGGGCTAGTTGGCTAGAGAATGGAAGGTTCCTGTCATGGTGTGGTATCCTTTCCAAAACCTTTGGAGCCACCACTGGTTTTCCACGAGAATCCAGAATAGCCCTCTTCCTGCTGGCCATTAGTCGCTTATAAGTAAGTTCTGATAGATGAGAGTCTAAGCAGAGTCCATGGTCCCAGCAGTGAGGACACTGACTATTGTAGACTGTATAAATTCTCATCCTATTAAGGTATATTTCTGTTTATTACTAGGGTTTATTTGCTTGTTTTGAGGTAGTGCATACTGACAAGTAGAAATATCCTACCCACTTTCCCCTATAAGTAACTGGATTTGCATTCCCTAATGTGTGTCTTGTTTTCTTTCAAAAGTTGGCTGGACGAGGAGTGTGGTGACCTAGAGAGTTGTCCATCTGAGGGGGGTAGCCATTATCCAGTTCTAGTTGAT